CCGGTACCAAATGTTGCCTAACTGCCATTTCCCTTTCTTGGGTGGCTTGACTATCGCCATTTTGGCGCGAGATGGGTCCCCCTGGCTTAAAGTTATGAAGTGGAGAATGAGTCGATATGGCTCACTGATCAACGAGTCAACAACACGAAAGGGTCGGTCCCCGCCTTGTCCTTGAGCTACCGCAACTTTCGGATAGTGATTCCGGCGCGGTGAACGCGGTAGGAAAATTGCTGCCAGTATCCAAACGAAGAACAGCAGAATGACCACAATCACGATGGAAAACGTACAAGATCAATGAGCATTCGAAGAAACGGAGGATACTATGGCGCCAAGCAACTTTGCGCGTCGCCGATACGCTCGAATCACGGCTGGCATCATTCTCGCGATGGTAACTTTCCATACTCCGATTCCCGTTGGCGAGGACAGGATCTGACAGAAAGTTTGAAGCTCGTTTGTCAAAACGCGGCCAGCATATTGGTGAGTTGACAGCCTTTGACTGCGCCTAGCTTGTGGTTCGACCTTGGACAACCAGAATATGACTGATAGGGTTCAATGATTAGTTGCAGCACAAGGTGCAGAGCCGCCCGCAGAACAATTCTGCTCGGTATGAGCCTCTCAGTGCTGTCGTCCTTTCCGAGGCTTTGAAGTTGCTCATCTCCCTCGGCGGTTGTGTCTGGGCTTACAACACTGAAGACCGCTCGGCAACTACTTCCGGGTTTTTAGATTACGTGCGGAGCGGCCATGACAACGCTGCCATACCGGCTTTTCTGTACACGCTCTCGGCCACCAGCCAGAGTTTTGGAGCTTACCATCTCAGTATTCTGCCGTACTTGATGCTTTCGCAGGTCAAGCTCATCCTGACACCTATCTTCAGCAAAGCCCTCCTGAAACAGACTCTGCACCCTCATCAATGGCTGTGCCTAGTCATCATGGCAGCGGGAATAGTCATGGTGCAGGTCGGTTCTCTGCCGTCGTCATTGAGCGATGTCGGCAGCGGTGATACAGGCAAAGATAGGGCCTTCGGAATCGTCGCCATGCTAGTGGCTGGTTGCTGTAGCGCTTTCGCTGGTGTCTACATGGAAGCTGTCCTTAAGTCCTCAGAACGTAGTTTCATGGTTCGCAACGCTCAGCTGGCGGCATACGGCTGTTTATGTGCACTCGGCGGCTTCTTGTGGCAGTCAGACTTTAGCACCACAGGTTTCTTCCGTGGGTACACGATACTGGTCTGGGACTTCGTTCTGTTGCAAGCCATGGGAGGGTTTCTCGTCTCCTGGGCGGTCCGTGTATCGAGCACCATTGCCAAGAATTATGCTCAGAGTTTGGGTTTTCTATCAGCCTCGACGATTCCCCTACTCTCGTCGCCTCATGCATTGAGCTTTGAGGTAAGAAATAAAGAGTCCTCGACTTAGGTTGTTGAACCCTTTCAACTGACTGACTTGTAGTTGTACTCCGGTATCACGATGGTTCTAGGAGGTGTGTTCGGGTCTCTCTGGAAGACCGAAATGCCTGTTGATTCCATAGAAGACATTGACGAAAGACCTAAAGAAGGATCAATAGTTTAATGACGAATGACACGTACAATCATGGCCTACGGCTTCTCTTCCTAATCATCTCACTCGGCAACGCAGATGTTCTGGATTAGAGACCATGGAGGGTTTCACCACTTCGGATATTCTAGTAAATAGAGTGAGTTCCCTGATGTCTGTGAACTCGGGGGAGTAGTTGCCTTTACGGCCTCGCTCACTTTTCTTTCCGCACATGTGGCCAAGGAGCAGCACTTTGCTGAAATGATTCTTCCGCCCTCCTCGAAGAGCGCAGCCAATGGTGCTGCCGCCGGGATGTCGATATAATACAATAGGGGCTGCCTAGACTATGCTGGATATCCACGCTTCTCACTCTCCGTGAAGAAGATGACCATGCGCCATAACTTTTTGACCATATCCTCTGCCTCATCATCCAATGCCTGCGGTAAGTGTTAGCGACCCTACAAAGGGAAGAGTTGGACATGGTATACGCACCGCTGCAAGCTCTTCCACCAGCTCTGAAGGCTTCCCGTGCTTCCGAAGATGCTCCTCCACGACCTCGACAAGCATCTCTTCTTGTACGCCTAGATACTCGACAATCTTCTTCTCGACAAATGGACGAAGCTTGTCGCGGATGATGGCATCGTCCAAGAAGTCCCACTGCACGGTCCAGTTCCACAGGCCGTCTTTCTCCGACGGGATCTCCTGGGCAAGAGCACGAACGGCTTTGCTAATCTCCTCCTCGGTCATCTTATCCGCCGCAGTCGTAGGCTCGAACTGAATGGGGATAAGCTGTCTCCTCGTTGTGCTGTCTTGTTCCTCGTCGTCAAGAAGACCCTCCACCTCAGCAACAGTCCGTCGTTGGGGAGCCACACGTTGGGCTTGTGCGCGCTGAGCAGCAGCGCCCAACGATAGCTTGAAGGGCGCTGGTGCGGACGCGGCTGCTTGTTGTCGCTGCTCCATCTCATGGGCTTGTTGATCAAGGAAGGAGTCGGCCATACCGCGCGCCCTCTCCATGTCTGCAGCCTCTCTCCGACGCTCGTCCTCTTCGGCCCTCCGATCTGCCTCATCCCTGGCTTGTTCATCGGCTCTTTCGATTTGTCGCTTCTTCACCCAGCCCGCATGGTCGCGGTAATACAAGTGGTTCTTTCTCGACGCTTCTCTTTCGTCATCCCAGGCCTTTTCCCGTTCAAGCTGCTCTTGTACGCGTCTCTCCAGCGTTTCCTCATCCTGTAATTCACGCTCCTTTTCTCTCTCCAAGGCTGCAGCACGGGAACGTTCTCTGTTCACCCATTTCCGCTCCGCCTCAAGATACATCTTTTCTTCCTCTGACTTTTGCTTCGAGAGTTCCCGCTGGTAAATCTCCTCGTCGTCGGCTTCCGTATCTTCGTCTTCGCGATTAATAGACAATTCGGCATTCGAAATACCCCCGTTCACAAAGGATGTCGTGCGGGATCCGTTCTGTCCTCTGGGGCCCGACGGCGCGTTGTGCATCCCACGAGGTCCAACAGGAATATTGTTGGAGTTGGAAGGCGGCGGAGAATCCAGCCGTGATGACCGAGAGGGTCCATTGCGGTTTCGTTCCATCTCCTCCATCTCTTCCTCGCGTTTGAGACGCTCCAGATCTCGCTTGTTGCTGCGTTCTCTGAACGCCGCGATCTCTGCGGCGACAACTTCTCTCATCTCTGCAGGGATGTCTGCAAGCTCATCATCTTGAGCCAGAGGGATATTGACAACTTCAACGTTTTCTCCGGAGTTGCCCATCGTCACATCACCTTCGCCGTCGGCTGTGCTTGCGGATTTGGGATACACGAGGTCTCGGATGACCTGCTTCAGAGTATCCTTGGCAGTCTTTGTCCGGGATTCGGCACTACTATCATCACCTCTGCCTTCCTTGTAAGATTCGATGTACTTGAGAGAGTTCGGGTCAATGGTGACTTGAAGCTTAACCATCTCTACACCGTCGAAAGAGTCGTCTTCCGATGGTGCACTTTCGGATGGAGTTTGTCGCTTCAGGGGGACTTCGATGTCTTGGAGCAGATCGCAAGCGGTTGCAAAGGAATCGGCATCCTCGAATTGCGCGAAGCCAAACTTCGCTCCTTTGCCGTCAGAAAGTACCGAAGTAGCGACGTCCCATCTCCGAAGTTTCCCCACAGAATTGAGGATGGATTCGATGCCTTCATCGCCTCTAACGCCTTCGGGGATTTTGTGAACGAACAGTGTTCTCAGCTTCTCCTCGTTGTTCGGAGGGACCAGGGACTGCATGTGCTCGCGTGCGGCAGCGCGGGACTGATCGTACCCGCGGTCCATACCCAATCCTTGTCTTCCGCCGCTCGGAGTATTGCTATCTTTCCTGCCGACATCGGGGCCGCCTGCCTTGCCACCTATGGTACCAAGACGAATGACGGGTGCACTGAAGTTGATATTTGGGAGGTTCGCGGGAGCTTGGAAGTTAGGCGGCAGGCCGCTTTGTCGGTTAGCTTGGGCATTGTTGGACTGCTGGACACCGGGAGGTGGTGCCATTCCCGGAGCGGAAGACATGCCTGGCGGAGGGCCTGAAGACGGGTTAGCAGAGCATCTTGGTATCATAGCAATGTATGCCGAACCTAGACCAGGTGGAGGAGCCATGCCTGGGGCGCCATTGGACCCCGGGAAGCCACCATAAGACGGAGGTGGCCCATACGGGTTTCCTGCTACAGAGATGAGTGAGAAACAGATCGTTTGGGGGTACGAAGCTTGACGCACCTCCATAAGGATTGTAGGACATGGTGGGAAAATCTGCGGGGTTGTTGATGGAAGAGCAGATGCGGGATCGTTGATCAAGGATTCTACAATTGGCGAGACTGCCTCGTGTCGCGGAGATGAAATGCTGCCAGTGATGAACAGACTGTCGGTGATGCTACCCTTCAGAGCTCGCCGCTCAGATGGAAGGAAGGTAAGGGGTGACAGGACCTGCGTGGGAGACGGAGGCTGGCGGAGAGCGTGGCGGTGGGTGGGACGCAGAGCTCCAAAGTCGAACGCTGAAGCTCTTGGTCTGTCTCTGTAGTCAAGTCTCTCTGGGCCTGATCCAGTTCTCTCCAAAATTCGGCGCGAGGCCAACGCGAATTGGCCTTGCAACGCGACAGCTCTCTGATTGGTCGATCCATCGTGGTGGGTCCTCGGCATCTCGGAGATACCCTTCACCGAACAAGCTCCCAATCGATTGAATTCGCGAGTCGTCAGGTCTGGACTTTGGATGGAAATATTGTGAGGTCAATCGCTAAAGCTGCGCCAAATCGATTCCCTTTGCATTGTGCTCGCCTGGCCTCGGCGACACTCAATCGCAATGTGAGTATCTCTCGTCGTACTGCTGTTATTTCTTGACTAATCAAAGTTCTTTAGGGCGTCGGAAATCGGGTTGCTGAGCAAGAGACTGCTCACCACCTGCACCATCCGCAATCCCTCTCTGCATGCATCACAAGCATTCCGACAGCCATTATGGACTCACCCACGTGCCTTTGCAACCTCGTCAATCCTCTCCGCCCCCCCTCGCTCCGGTTCACGATCAAACCTTGAAGGCCTGTTCTCCAAGCCATCCCCGACGAACTACGCCCAACCGCCGCCTCCGCCGCCGGCCGCAGACGCGGCTGCCCCTTCTCAGGAGAAGTCCGATAGCCCCTACGCATATGACGCCACTTCGGACACATTTGATATTTCCAAAATCATCGCTATGGAATCGGATGAATTTCTCAAGAAGCACTATCCCACAAGCAAGCAAGAGCCCGACCTGCGCACACGTCCACAGACTGGTCGAACCGTACATCTTACCAGCAAGACGGACTTGGCCAAGGCTCTGAAGCTTCTCGACTTCAACTGCAGGAAGAACAAGATCAAGAGACAGTTTCAACTGCAGAAGTTCCATGAGCGCCCAGGAAAGAAGCGCAAGAGACAGAAGAGCGAGAGATGGAGGGCTCGTTTCAAGGAAGGGTTCAAGGCAACAGTGGCGAGAGTCATGGAGCTCAAGAACCAAGGTTGGTAGGAGCGACCACTAGCATGTGATGATATTCCTGGAGAAGATGTAGCACATGGTGTCTACACGATGTACAATATGTAGAAATCACAAAGATTTTGTTGTCCCAATGCGTTACGTAGGGTATTATTAGCGGCTTGAACTCTGCATTTGGAGAGTCCAGAGTTTGTATAGGTGTCTACAGAGGCTTCTCCAGTGGTTTCCTGGACGGTGAGGGGGCCGGGCTTGTCTTGATCCTTGGCCGGCTACGGAATACAGCCTCCATGTCTTCAACAGCCATCAGCTCCTCGGCAAGTATCGATGCATCAGGGTCCAGTTCCATCGTCTCCTCCTCAACGACGGGGATCTGGCTCTCGGTTCGGGCTCGAGGCCGTGACTTCTTTAGCGATTTTTGTCTGTCCAGTTGTGCTTTTTGGTGGGCGGCCTCAAACCCAACCATGCTCTTGCGTGTGCGAGCTACCAGGTCGTCCTCATCAGTCACGCGAATCGTAACTTCCCCAGTCCGGCGATTAGCACTGGCGAAGGATGGTCTCAGAGTCAGCGTGTCGTCTTCCTCGTCGTCTGGGTCGTATCTGACGCTACGCGAGGACCGAGCCATCGACAACCGCGTCCGCTCTGCGAGGGACAAGGTATGACGTGGTTTGGAGCGCTTGACAGGCGACGGGGATGCAACGTCCATGTCCTTTAAGATCTGGTCTGCCAGCTCTTGTGTTGGTGATTTGGGCGGCTCGGGTGAGCTATCTTCCCTTTCAAACGGAACATCCGCCTCCCCTTGTTCTTCTAGGGGCGGAGTTATAACACGGTTGGGGATCGTCTCCGTAATGTCATCCTCGTCCGGTAGAGGGGGGGTCGGCGGAGGTATAGCCAATTCATCTTGCGACTCTGGCGGTAGTAGTAACGGGCTAGGTAACGGGGCTGGTAGGTCAGAGCTGCTGGTCCGAGAAGAAATGTTGATGGCGGGACGTTCGAGCCGTCTGGGATGGGGCTCCTGCAGCGACGGACGCCGCGGCAAGTTGTTTGTTCCATGCAGATCGTCCTCTAATTCGCTGAGTTCTGAAATCGTCTCGTCTCCGAGGCTTTCCCTCGTAGCCAGAATTCCATCTAGCTTCTCGTGTTGGCGAGTCCGTGGGCCCAACGTGTCAGTGAGCTTAACCACAGGCAAGGAGCCTACTTCAGCCAATTCTGCCAGACAGTCATCCAAAAGATTGGAATAATTCCTTGTCAATGAAGTGCCCTTCTTTGCAAGCTGCTTTTTCGGGCTCGTCCCTCCCAGATGCAAGCTCTCATGTGAGTCGAACTCGAAGTCGATGCCACGTCTTGCTCTCGTCGGCTGTGACGTCTTAGACGTACTGGCTTTGCGTCGTTCGCCAAACATGTCGGCTCGAAATTCCTGCCATCTCACAAGTCTCTCTCTTTGTGTTCTGACACGGTCGTCCAATTGCTCCAAAAGGCCTGTATCGTGGGTCTCCAATTCGGTAAGTCGGCCAGACTCCAAGCGCCGCCAGACTCTGTCAAAGGGAGCCGACAATAGACCATCCTTCCGGGCGTTGGAGTCACCGTAGAGAAGAGTCTCCATCCATTTCTCATTCCCAGCCCAGTTCGTGCGCACCGTCCTCCATGTGTCCGATTTGAGATTGTCTGGCAGGGCTCGAGCACTTGTTAGTTGTTCAGCGGCTTTGATCTCCTCCTTCCTCCGTGCAATGCCTTTCTCTTTCTGGTTCAACACCTCAGCAAGACCGCGATATCTTTTCCTGGCCTCATCTTTCTTCCGCAAAGCATTGGTGATGCAGGCTCTATGAGCAAGCGCAAGAGTCACAAGCTCCGTCCGTTCGGCACTGTATCCCCGATTTTCCAACGCAACTTGCTGGGCGATAGCTGGATGCTCGTGCTCGGCTTCTGTCACTTCGGCCACCATCTTTTTCAAAACAGCGGACGAGAAGACGGCAAGAACTTCTTCCAATCTCTCCCCTTTGCATTCGTCCAGCATGGTCTTGCGAACCACGGCGTCTCGTCCGAGGACTCCATTCTTCTTGGCCTGGTCGAGGCTTCGCAGGAGGGCGGCTCGTAGGTTCAAGGATTGAACATGGTCTCGGGGCGGAAAGAAAGGTTGAAGCTTCTGTAAGTCACCAAAGATTAGCACAGTCGAGGACACACACTATTTGCACATACATTCCGCGCCTCTTCCGGGTCCCAGAGCACAAAGAGCTGGTAGAGAGTCCATTCTACGCAGTGGATGCGCTTTTTCTGCACAGAAAAAGTCTGCGCATCGAAGTCTGGCCAGTCTGGAAACGAGGGAAAGTCCAACAGGCGAAGATTGGTCAGAAAGAGGGAGGCATTGGTGGTAGGCGCGGTACTCGTAGATATCGAAGCGTTGAGGGGTGCGCTCAGGGTCTTGGTCGACGGGCCCGATCGCGGTTGACGTGACCGTGCAAGCAGAGAATTGGCTGGCAGAGTCGCCATGACGACATTTTGCTTTCAGGAAATGGTCTCGAAGAATCAAAGTTGACTCTTGTCTTGCGTCTCCCTTCGGATGGAGTATAGGGGGGACGTCGTCTACGCAGGCGCGTGTCGCATTGAATTGGTTCCAAATGCAGGCAGCGCATTTGTTGTGTTGATGGTGGGGAGCAAACGGCGGTGGAGGGATCAGCCCAGCCCAGCAACGCTTGGCGCGCCAGGGGTCCCCAGAATCTCGGTTAGCGGTTGACTGCCTGCGCTGTAAGTGGCATGTCCGGGCTCCGCCTGGCCTTCACCTGTCCTCACCTTGGTCCACCTCGACTCGCCTCACATCAATTCATGCTCGGTGTAGGTTGCGTCAGCTTCAAGGTGAGCGGACTATTTCTTTAGTTTTACGGAAACTTTCTACTCCTGGCTTTCAGAAGCTGGGCTTTGCAAACATTCCCTCAGACTCATCGAGACTTATCAAAGACACCCCTTTCGTTTGTCGATCATCGATTAGAGCGCGGGTGTCTGTGCGGACAATATGGCGTTGCTGCCTTTTCTCCGAGTACTTGCTAGAGCTTAGACTCATAACCAACAGATAACCAGCCAAAAAAAATCAATCTACCCAGTTTATCGATGCTGCACTCAATGGGGTTTCTTCATCAAGTGCATGGCTTTTCTACTCCCGTCTCCACGCCTCCCTGGGTAGTCTCCAATCTTACTAGTAGACTTCGACTGCGATAGAGTTAATTCGAGCAGTGGAAAGAGCTTCTCGGATACAATGCAGTTTATTTTCTGCATCATCCAGACAGCTAACTTTTACCTGGTGTCAAATGGGAATGATGGGAGAGTCGGAACCAAGGGGCATGTTCAGCCACTTCAGCTAATCAGCCTCGACAATGGCAGGAGGCGACAACACATGATTTAGATAAAATCGTGAAGAAGGCTGAATGTATTTCTAGAAGGACGTCTCCCTACTCTACTTTCTTCCAACTGGTACGCAAACGCGTACTCATTTACCACTACTACCATACTTGTTAGTATCCGCACCGATAGAAAGCAACGCGTCCTTGATCAACTCACAATGTAGCCCCTGAGGCATCAGAACAGACCGCTTTCCCGGAGACTGCAACGCATTGACCTTGTCCATTTGACAGAAGTCTCGTGCCATTCTCAAGATTAGGGTCGACGTCTGTCCCGGCGAGATCTTGAAGAGCCTTTCGATCCGCGGCTTGTTGCTGTCGGCTACCGCCGCGCTGAGGCGAGGCCGCAGCAAGGCCGAAAAGGGCGACCAGAGTGACTGAGATAGAGGAGAGCTTCATGACTCAAATGCTTTTAAGCGGAATTGAAATAGAATAGTAGATTAAATGGTTGCAGTATGGGGGAAAAGGATTGGGCCAGCCGGGAGATTGATTGATTGAACTCGAGCAAAGTCTGAACAACGGGAATGAGATACTGACTTTAGAAACTTGACATTCACTTTCCTGTTCTACCTGAAGTCTTTATATGGATTCCGTAAATTGGGGCGCGAAGCTCATGTCTTGTCACAAACGGGATGACAGCTCGGGTTTCGCGGTTGTCTCAAACTTGACAGGCGGCTCCTAGCACATCGGGGTGAACTTGACTCCTGCCACAATCTCGAGACAGGTCCACTCCCAGCGCACCTTAAGATCATCCTTATACTATGGGACCTCCTTCTAATACCAAGGGACTCATAATAGAGACCGAAAGAAGTAATCTTGGTGTGTAGCATGGCGCTCCTCAAGCCAATCGTTTAGCATGTAGAATTTGAATCTCCTGTTTTAGGTCACGACTTAAGTTTCGCGAAGTGGATTACTCGTCTTGAGACAAGCATGGGGTGCAGAATCAAGGGCGGCAAAACCGACGCGGGGTAGTTCTTCTAGAATATTTCTCCATATGAGCGCGGCCTCGCGACTAATTCCGGTTACCCTTACCGACGACGTAGCTGATTCAATGCAAGCATCAGATATGGCAACCTTTGCCAAGGTCAATTGCCAGTGTCCAGGTTGAACAACATACTTGGCGGAAGCGATACTGAAAGTTTTAGAAACAATGGGTCTTGGAATATTTCAGCATAAATTTTGAGATTCTTTATTATTCCCTTTAATGAGTCGAATTGCAATCAGCTTTCGGGCAGAATCTCCGTGATGTTGCTCTTGGCAAGCTTCTCAGTCTCATCTAATACTTGAATCAACCTCTCTTTTGCAGCAGTGTGATCGTGATCTTTAGGCTGAGCCATGCCCATATGTTCCGTTGTCACGCAAATCACAGATTCCATCAAGCGCAGTGCCAAAGGTCCTGCAATGCCAACATTGTAGAATGCTGGGGTTTCATTGACTTCAAGCAGCCACGCGGTTCCGCCTGAGTCTATGAGAAAGTCCACCGCGAACAATTCGAAGCATTTGTTCACTGTCGTGAACTTGTCCGCCATTGTGTGTGCAGCGGCTTGGAACAGCTCTGCGGAAACGGCGCAGACCTGCTGAAAGACGTGAGCCTTCCAATCCCCAGGCAGCAAATCATCTGGAGCATCCCAAAAGTCTCTCATCGACTCCCTATTAACAAAAACATCTTTGTCTTGAAGGGCCGTGTTTGTAAGAGAACATTTGAGGCTCGGGTACAACCAAGGCGGTTCGTAATCTTCTCCAGCAAGAAGTGCAAGCATTTCCTTGAAGACATAGACTTTGAGACGGCCCACAGAGAGAACATAGGCTCGGGCATGCCACTTCCTATTCTCCATCGGCGGAATAGAAACGACGTATTGCTGCGCGACAAACTCGCGCATCTGGGCTGATGGAATACGACCGCCTTCCTTGAAAAAGTACTGAGGCTTTGGACTTCTTTGGACTGCATCCGAGTTTGGCTTGAGTGACAAGGCGCCCGTGGCGGTAACTAGCACATCAAGAGAGTCTAATCCAGGAGTGGATAGTGTTGGCAAAAAGTTCGGGTCGTTCTTTTCTGAATATGGAGTCGTATCTGGGATAGATCGTTGAGTATTGTAGAACATGATACTCTCGTCCTCTCCCTCGACCTCGTACTCTGCAAGCTCTAGATGATTGGCAAGTTCATCTATTGTGCTGAAAAGTCTGATGCCAGCACCACAGTCGACCAACGCTGGCTTCATAATCCACCAGTCGCGTTCCGCTGGGGGCTTGCTCTCGTTTGCCTCGAGTGAATATAAGAGCGAAAGGTCGTCCGCAGCAGTCAAAGACTCCTCGACATACTCGGCATAGTCCAAAGATAGACGGACTGTAGTGGGCACATGACTTTTGAGGATGCTTTCTGGTCTTTTGGCCGTCCATAATTCTACAACCCTGGCAAGATAATCTTTCCGAGCCAAAGCGTCGCTGTTCGGGTAGGCGTTGATCAGGCCCGTGGTCGCTGAGTTCAACGCTAAGAAGTTCCGGTTCAAGGCCCAACCATCACAAAACTGAAAGACTGTCTTGGCGTTTGTGGGGAAATGATCGAAGTTGTCGATGAACTTGGTGTTTGGCGCGTGCTTTCGGATGTAGGACTTGATGGGTTCTGACAGCCAAGGACTGGCTGGTTGGACATACGCGTACATTCTGGTTGGATCTGGAGGAGAGTAACGGTAACCCTTTGTGAGAGGTTCGAATCGCTTCTCAAGGTGATGTTATTATCTTAGATGTCGTTTGATCGGAAACAGCCGGTTGGATCGTGGCCGAAGCCCCGTGATGGAGTTGGACGTCACGAGGAAACTGGGAATCTAAGTCAGAATCTCTTGTGTGGTTCATAGAACCTTTTAAATTCAACAAGTCGTGGTTCCACAGGAGTTTAGATGTCTCTCATTATTCAACCATCTGGAGAATCGTAGCATCGTTCACCAAGTTGAAGTGGCCAAGAGGCGTGCCAAGCGAGAACGCGGATTTCCATTACCTAACCTCTACTCTCGCGATTTCCATTAGACATAACCGGTTTTATAAACGTAATCCAAGCCGAGCTCATTCCGAATAAAATCGATACATTTTTGATCCAGCTCGATGACTTCAGACGAGTTGCACACTTTGATCCTTCCGCCCCCCCGCCCCCCCGAGTGTAGTCACACAAACAGCTTTTAATTCAACGTCACTCCGAAGAAACGTAATCCTACTTGGTTTCCTCCAATAAACATAGATTGTTAGCTCGGACTTTAATGAATCTTGATTTGTTTTTGCACGACGCACAATCCGCCGTCACGTTATTAAGAGAAACTACCTTGGGGTCTGAAGCCTCAAGTCGTGAGAGGCCATACGAGCACGCAATGTCATTTTGTTTCGTAACTCATGACAGCATGATAAATCCTTGTTGTTATTCATCAAAATGCATTTGAAAGTTGCGGTGACTTCAAGTTCGTCCAGAAATAACACTGCGTGAGAAGGTACCTCAATTCGAACGCCAAAGATCGTTAGGCACGTGCTTCATCTTCAAACCCACCGAAATCATATGGATACCAAGGGAGTCGGACAATATTTCAGATCAAGTGCAAATAACTCATAGTAATCTGCATCTTACTATTACCTAAGTAGACATAATACCTTGGGCCCCTGGATGATATTGAGGGTCGAGTCTAAAAATATTTGCCGAGAATTCCACATATGCCTTCGATGATGTGTTGAAAGCTCTCCCCAAAGAGTAGCAACCTTGGCTACTTGGTCCTGAAAATGAGCAAGACAAAAGCTGACTACAATCGTAACTACATCTAGAGAGAAGATAATGGTGATAATATACAGCCTTTAAGGTGACATTGATTTGAGCATTCATCGGAGAATTGAGCACAAGAACAATGTCGTGCTGCCAGTCACTTAATAAGTATAATGTATCAGGACATGTCTCATTTTTGATGGTCGTTTGATTCGATGTCTACATGCAAGATGATTCTAGCCTATCAGTGAACGCAACGAAAAGCTGGTTGGAAGTTTGCTGCAATATTTAGTTTGCGACCTGGATGTCTGTCAAGCTAGGACGGTAGGAAGTGAACAGCTCAGAGCTGCGCCGCCTGGCAC